AATCTTTTAAAAATAATAATAAAATAAAATACAAAAAGCTTTAAATGCAAGCCTCCCCTCTCTTACGTGTTTTAATCTCATGTAACCAACATGTTGGACTAAGTTCTCAAGCCAAGTCCCTCCACTCTAACAAGTACAGACATCCCATACCCTGGAATAATGCTCTGATACAACATACCTTGTGGATGGTTGACAAATGTTGTTACCCAAAAATTGGGGATTTTGGCGATCAATTCCGACCTCTTCTGAAAAAATGGTTGGCGGAGTTTGTTATATTTCTGTTCTACTTTCAAAATCTCCTCACTGGCTTGTTCATTAAGTCTGAAGCAAATGAAAAACAATATTGACAATGATGGTATTTGACAAATACAAAAATTGCTGAAACTCCAGAATGTTAGCTTTCGAAGAGTACAAAGTAATTATTTATAATGACCAAAACACCTAGATTTTTGTAGTTAGACACTCAAGTCAAAACTAAGATGGCAATCTGATATGCTTCACCAACACACTCAATAGTTAAACAGTTCTTAAAGTGCCCAAACTGATCATTTTGGTAACACTGTATATTTACATCACCAACTCTATCACCAGGCTAACTTCAATTGTTTCAACCTCAAGCAGATGTTTAAAAAAAAAAAAAGTGCTAATAAAGTAACAAAGTTATAACCCAAGTGGGAGCAACACTGATGCCATAATGCTAAACTATCAGAAGCCCAGGCACTGCAATTCAGACAACTTGTAGCCTTTGAAAGTAAACCAAAGCTTTACAAGGTCAATGTACTTTCTTCAAAAACTTTTTGGTCAACATACAAGTCTTTCACAGGCAATTAACACTGACCTTTCAAAATATTTCCAACTAAGTTATAATCATCCCCACTTAGCCAGTGGATACAGATTTATTTGACCATAGTTTCAATGATTACCAGGCTGTAAGCTGCATCTCAGAAAACTTCTGCAAAGTAAACTACAAAAAACTTTACCTGTCTATTTCATTTTGTACTTCATCAATATGTTCAATTGCTTCTTGCTGTTCTTTTTCTGTAAGAAAAAGGTGTATAGGACTCAATGCTAGTTACAATATGAAATTCGTTTTCTTGATGTTAAGAGTCTGTGATGTGACATATCAATAAAATAGTTTTAAAAAAAGAAACTGCCTACTACAAGGCATGCTCTCCACGTGTTCATGCCTGTAGTTGACAAATTTTTAATTAAAAGACTATTCACAAATCATGCAATCTGCTAGGCTACTCAAGAATGTTTGCAGCACTTTTTCAAGAGTTTCCTTACAAGAAAGAGACCAGTTACTAAAGTTACTATTATGAAAGATAAGGAATAAGCCTTATTCAAAAATTCTTACTGTTATTTATCACATTATATACCTGTTAACAGAATGATGCCAGCTGTTAACTCCAATACGGAAACTAACCCAAGACCATAACGAAAATGAGGACACCACCTATCTCAGTGGTAGAATCACTTCTTACACAAAGTTGAAAATACTGCTCAGTATCGATTACAATTAAAAGACATCAGACATGCCTGACAGGTAAGGCTCTTGAATCTGTCGGACCATCGTAAAAACACTGGACTTCACCTTCTTAGAATAAGAACCCTAGGATTCGACCCTGACCTTTCTCTCCCCTCCAACCCAATTTCAGGCGGGCTTATCTGAGATGAGGCCCCACACGATTCTGAAGCACACTTACAGGGAGCAAGCATGAAGTCTGAAAACTATGAGCCACGGAAGGCAGAGGAAGGAAAGGGGTGTGCTATGGAAGAGGTGCCCTTTTGTCCGGTGAAGACTGCAGAACCTACAAAGCTAAGTGGGCGTGAAGGGGCCTGATCGCGCGGTTCATTTCCGGTAACCATCCCGGGTTTTGCAGCCCCCCTGCCGAGAAAGCCTTTACGGCCAAGGCTGGAAGGTTTGCTGAGAGCCATTGTAAAGCCCCTCCGACACGCTGGCCGCCGGGCCAGGTTTCACAGCGCTCTGCCGCGACGGGGTGGCCACCCCACGTGGGAAGTGTGCCCGGGGCCGGCCAGAGCATCCTCCCGGGCGGGCCAGGCCCACTGCGC